TAGAGTTGAAAAGGAAGATGAACTTAGTTAAAATAAAGAAAGAGTGCTATGTATTTCCCCTCCATCCCAGCACAGTCTGCACACTGCTGAAAAATTGAGGTTTTCTGTTCTAGAAGCTGTAACAGTGTTTCTGCTAACACTGTGTTGATCAAATGCATGCTATGGCAGCTTCACAGGTGGAGTGTGAGTAACAGGAAAGTAGTACCTATTTTGTAAACAAGCCTGCTGCTTTCTAAGAAAACAATCAGACCTTCCCCCCTTCCAAAAAATCAACTCTTAAGATTTTCAATCAGTTTCTTTCATTGGATTTTTTTTTTCCATAGAATTAGTAGTGGAAGTCTTCTAATTTCAGAACATGATTTTAGCCTAATTTCATAAAGAAATGAGGCTAAAGCAGTCTATTCTATTTTGTCTTTGCCTATCTTCTTGCCCCCCCTGCTTCCAGAACCTTTTGTTGCTTGATATGAACTGAAACAGATGCACACCAATCTGAAAGAGAATTGTGTTTCCACAAACTTTGTGAAAATTGGCTCCCAAATCAGAGGTTTGTTAGGGTGCCAGAGCCAGTGCTGGGGTCAGCCACAGGCCATGGTGTTTGCTGGCAGCTGGAGAGTGACTGGGATGCATCCATGTGCTGGCTGGCAGTCAGTCCCTTGCCTGCCTCTGGCTCAGGCTGGTGCTTGTCTAGCAGGCAGAGCAGAAACAGGCTGGGAGTGCAGGGACAAGAAAGGGAGCTTAGGGGTATTGCAGTGGTGGTGGTGTGGGGGGACTTGGGCAGAAGTGACTGTGAGGGCAGTAGAGGGGAGAGCTGAATGGATCTGACTGAGAGAGGCGAATGTGATTTAAGTCCCAGGAAATCAGGCTAAGCTCGCTCCAGGGTTCACAGGACAGCTTGCTGATCACTGTGAATACTCTGACAGGGCACTTCGCTTGTAAAATGCCAATCATGATAAAAGGATCAGCTTGTGTCTCACCATCAGTCCTCTTTCTATTTCACCATGAAATTTTGGATATTTTTTGGTAGCCCTTCCTTGCTGTGTCCCTGTTTGGTCCTAATATTTGAATGTCCCTGTAAAAAGTCTGTATATAAGCAAAGAATCCCTCTATACAATTCTCAGCTTCTGTTCTGAGTTTGGGAATTGTTGCTGCTTGTTTTCAGGTGTTTCCAAATAGCTTACATTCACCTGCCTGTCAGCAGTTTGATAGATTTGATGGGACCTTAGCACACTTAATAACCTCACCTGAGGAAAGAGTAGAGAAGCTGCTTATGCAGATTATTCTTGCAATGTAGGTAAAACTTGTGCAGAACTTGTATGAACTCTGATGGTGCCAACAGGACTGGAATCAATTTTATAGGCCTGTCTTCAGTGCCTGGACACTGTATTCTTTGAGACTGCTAAAATGTGGGCTGTGAAACCCTGCTGGCAAGAGCCAGTCTGCTGATTTTACCTGCCTTCGTGGGTGGGATTATTTAATGGGTATTCTCCTCATTCCCTGTCTCCCAGCTGCTCTGTTCCCTTTCATGTTCTTTTATGACTTTCTGATTTGTGTTATCTCCACAGTTTGTGTTTAGGCTGCAATGATTTCACATCAAAATTCCTTAATCTGATCTCGAGCCACTCTCAGCTGTTAATTAGCACTGGAGGTGGCTGCATTAACAAACACTCTTTGTTGGCTATATGCAATAAGCTACAGCATCATGTTACTCAACCTGTTACTGTGATAAGCCTACTAATAGCTTCAGTGAATTTGGCCAAACTTTTGTTTCTGGGCTTCTATTTGCATGAGTTTGCTTAATTTTCCTGTTCTGGGATGAGGATTGTGCCTTTTAACACTAGGCAACCTCATGTTCATCACATGCAGAACTAAGCTTGATTTGCCTTGATTTTGTTTTTTTCCAGTGCGGAGCAAATTGAGAGATATAGTGGGAGCATCTACTAACTGGAGGTACAGTGTGCGTTAAATGTATTTTACTTTATTTGTGAAACCAAGATAGAGCCCCAGGCTTATGGTAGTAGAAATTAACAATGTAGCTTGCTGACTGGAGAAGGAAAACATCCAGCTAAAAAGTAATTGAAACAAGGCTTCTGAGTTGTTACTTTGTGGATCACACACTTCTCTGACATATCTCTGGCACCTTTAGCACCAAAGAAACAAAATATATGATCTTGATGCTTGCAAGATTATCCCATTAGCTTTAAATCCAGTGGGAGTTTAGGAGCTGTAGAGTCTGTTGGCAATGTTAGGTTGCTGTTAGCTCTTGAGTTATCTCGTGATGGATTGGCCACATGGTGGATTTATCCTGCCCTGGATTTAGAGGCAGCTGAGCTGGTTCCCTGTGAAGCAGGCTGCATTTGGAAAACTGTCAGCTCAGGATGGGGGTCTCCTTAGTCAGGAGCTTCTTGGGCATTTCCTGTGTCTGCTCTAACTTAATTGTTCGTTAATTTACATATAGTTTAAATAATCAATGTTTTGGCTTTATTCAGGTTACCTTCCTGCCTCTCCATTACATTGAATAAACCAGAGTTGCCTGTAATCCTGTACTGTTGTAGTTCTGAAAAGGGCAGTGTAGCAGTCTGGGGGAATTACATACTGCAGTTTGGTTGGTCCTATGTGGATTGTTAATTTTATTATGGCTGTATTTGCTGAGCTCTTTCACACTTTGTGCACTGGTAGGGAAATGAAGAGAGGCTTGCCTGGGTGGAGTGTCTGATGTGCCCAGGCCCTCTGAATGGTTTTTCTAAGCAGGCATGCTAAAGAAAATGCCTGAATCTGACACAGTCTCACTGAGATCTCAGCAATGCAGCGTGCACAGCTGGAGGAATGGCAGAAGTTTGTTTGCTTAGTGCTCACTTGCCCTGTGAAACGAATCCGTAGGTTTGCATACTCCTTGACATTACACCAGAACTGTTCCATGTTTGCTCCTTAGGTTTTTAATAGTTTGTTATTGATTCTAGGTATGTTACAAAATACTTGCTTTATTCAGTCAGGTTGCTCTTTAAAGGCAAGGGAACTTTGGTGGAACAGGTAAGAGAGTGTTGGACAAGACCCTTATATCTCATAGATACCTGTGCAAGGAACCAGCTGTGTAGATTGGAAAGAAGTGACAGTAAGTTGGCCTTTAGTCCATTGTGAGAGTTGCAGCCCCTCTGTCTTGAAAGGAAAAGCAGCTCTGAAAAGGTTGTACTCCCTTTTCTGTACTGTTTCCTTCAATTACTTTCCTGTATAGCCTTAAGATGTCTGGGTAGGAAGACAGAGAGAGAGAAATAAATTATAGTTTTCCCTGTTTTCTAGCTTGCTGATCAAATGTACACTGTATGAACTGATGCTTAAAGGGGAAACTTGCCTGTGGATGTTAGCAAGTGTTACAGCTGATTAGTTCTCTGGTTGTTAATACTAGCCAACACTATACATCTGCTTTGCTTCCTGGGAGAGATTGTAAGCAGATGGTCAGTCCTTTAAAACTTACACTGTGGGAAAAGTTGTTATACTGCAGCTATGGAAGACATGAATATGCACAAAAACTTCTAGGTTAAATTATGTCTGATTTGTTCTTTTCAAGGGGAACCATTTTGGTAGCATTCAGAATTAGCTGTATTTTGTTCCTCTCTTTAGTGTGAAATATGTGCTTGCCACTTGTACACAAAACTATTCCACTGTTTTCTGTACTAGTCTTGCTTAGCATCTCTCAATTCACTTTTCAAGGCACACTGACTGTGTCTTGCTGTTTTTACTACATTTTGGTTTTCATTTTGATGATCATCCATGTGACATCTTTTAGCTAAGGTTGCAGTTCTGTTGTCATACTCCAGACAAAATGTTTTCTTTTCTTTGCAGGGATCATGTGCAAGCAATGCAAGAAAGAAAAGCTCTTCATACTCTACTGGCAAAATGTCAGGAAGATCTCCCTCCTAGGAGAATGAAGGATAGCTACTTGGAAGTTATTCTACCTCTAGGAAGTCAGCCTGAAATAAGAGAAAAGTATCTGAATGTACACAACAGTGTAAGGTAACAAAGCAACCATGTTACACATACAGGAAAGTGTTAACTTTCTTTTGCTATGTATGTAGGAATTTAATAATCAAAACCCTTATCTTACAGGTTTGGAAGGATACTTGAAGATCTTGACAGTTTAGGAGGTATGTGTCTATGCCCCTGTAAAGAATGCACAAAGTGAGCTTGAGTACTGTTGAGCACTGTTTGGTGTGATACAGTATGAGCTCAGGGAGGGAATCACATAATTGCACCATCTTGAAGGGGAAGGGAAACAAGAAGACACTGATGCTGGAGGAGAAGGAAGGATGATAAAGAACAGACAGAAGCAAAAATTGCTCAGCTTCAGCTTCTTGCCTCGGTCAGTGTTTTAAAGAACCAGCTACATGAATAATTTACTGAAGTGATCCTAGATTATGAATCTGCATTGAGTGTTAACACAGAGGAAATTTGCAGAGTGCATATAGAAAATTAAAGCTTACAATTACTTTTTTCTTAAAAAACCCAACAAAAACCTACACAAAACCCAACAGATAATGAGGTGCAAATATTTTAATCTTCCCTTTGGGGAGAAGAGAGTATAATCTGGAAAGAACAGAATGTATCTAAAGAACAAGTGCTTATTAAGGGAAGGTTGTGAAAGGAACAGTTTTTTTCTGTTCCTTCTGACGGTCCCAATGGGCAAAATTGAGGAAGGCAGAGAAACAAGTGTATGCATGTCTACTGAGGGTAGACACAATGGTTAGATGATTTATATTTCTCTCTGGAATGTGGAAGATAACTGGCTTCAGTACCTGTCCTGTATTAGAAAAAGAGACTTCTAACTATTGGCTACCCTCCACTGTTAGATGAGATGAGCCTGTTTTCCTTTCTGTGCCTTGTTTATTTCCCCCGGAAATCTGTGAAGATCTTATTTTTATCCTGTGACAGTGCAGAATGTCTTTGCCTTGTTTGTAGTGGTACTGGGCTCTAGTCAGTTCCACTGGGGATGTATTGTTTTGGGTTAATCACGATTCTGTCCCAGTCACACAATATTCAGGATATTGATGTAATCAGTTGATAGGCATAACAGGTTTTAGAATTGTGCTTCACTGATTTTAGGGAAAAAAAATCTTAGGTTAATTGGAAGGACAGACATCTTCCTTCTCTCTTACCTCGTTAAGTACCACAGATACTTTTGATTATGAAAATCTGTTTTGAGTGAAAAATCACATGAGCTCTAGAAAAAAACATATCTTTGCAGCCTTGAATTACTCCCAGGAGTCTGTTTACTTGGATGTGTTCTATGAACAAAACTAATGAATTTAAATAGTGATTTGGGTAGTAGTAATTGCAGCATGATAAATACCTCTGACTACGGTTTCATGCCTGTAAGGCACAGTTTATTTAATCTCCACCTCTTTAAAGGAATCAGTATTTGAAAAGTCCTCAGATAGCATGTGACCTTGGACAACCTGCATGAAATCAAAACAGAAGATAGGAGGGATCTGAGACAGTGGGCTGCAGGGGTAGAGGGAAGAGATTATGCAGGATTGGAAGTAGAATGATGAGTTGATTTAAAGGGCTTAACTAAATTTCTCTTTGTAGTAAGTAGATACACATAAAATGGAGACAGCTGCTGCATTGCTGTTTTCTTTGTAGCAATCCCATGTGTTACATACATGAAAATAAGGCAGTTGTGCTCTCTTACAGTAGGATAGTTTGTCTTTTACAGGTACTTCTTACACCTTGCAAATATCTGCTCCACATATGTTTTTGTTAAAGAACTGACTCCATTTTTGATCTCTTCACAGTTCTTATTTGCTACACTCACACCAAGCAGGAAATGCAGCCAAGGTCTCCCTTATCTATAGTTACAGCTCTGGTGGATAAAATCAGTAAGTGGCAGTTTTGTCAGTGGAGATGTTTTCACCTGTTTGTCTTACCTATTCAGCAGCTACTGCCTTCCCGTGGTTGTTGCTGGGGATACCTTCTTCACTCACCTGTTTAGTTCACTTCATCTTATTTTGGCTTTGAACTCTTGAGTATTGTGGATTTTGTTGAAGGGAGGAGGAAAGAGTTTTGTAGATGCTTTCAGCATTTCATATGTTACTTCCCTTCAAAATACAACTTTCACACTTCACTTCTGTGTTTAGTTTTATTTTCGCATTTGAGTTTCTTAGCTTCATTATCGAACGGTGTTTGTTCTGGTGGAGTCGAACCTTGCTTGTGTTTTGCTCAACACCTCTGTGGGTCTGCTGTGCACTTGTGTGCCTAATTCCTACTGTTGTTCTGGCTTTGGAAGTCTGGAAAGGCAGAAATCACAGACTAGCAGTGTTGCCCTTTGCAACAACCATCTTTTCTGGGTTGTCTTTGCATGTGTTGCCACTTTCAGAACACATAAAGGTCTTAGAGGATGTGGCCTTTCTAGTATTAGATGTGAGTGATTTGTCTCCAGTAACCCTTAATGTTTGTCTTGTAGATTTGTGCAAGAAGATTATACATCCAGACTGTGACATCAAATTCACAGGCAATGTTTCTTGGGTTGGGAAGACCTCAATGGAAGTGAAGATGCACATGCTGCAGGTTAGTTTCCGTGACTTCTCTCCATATTATGATAGGCATGAGGTGCTTCAGGGGAAATTCTCAATGATGACATCAGCAGTTGAAATGGTATTTTCTAGAATAACTTTTATAAGGGCTTGAAACAGCCCCAGTGTTTTGAAGACCAAGACAACTTCCAGTAGTCTAGGTGCAGCAAGGCACTTTTGTTGCTACTCTGTCTTTCAAGACAGGCGTTTTTCTTAACCAGCATTTTATATTTAAAGTGAACCACAGTACTCCTGCAGAAAAAATAGGTGGCTGTTCTGCATGAATTGCTGCCTGTATTGATTTCCTTCCCTTCCAGCTGAAAGTAGTTAATAAACATTCCCTGCTAAATTACATTGCAGAATTCCTGAACCCAAAGTTTTAGTTCGTGTTAATTCCTTATCTTTGACCTATTGTGAGAGGTGTTGGAAGGGATGACAGAATGTGAAATAAGCAAAATTCACAGTGTGATCACAGAGTTGATGTCAACTAAATAGCTTGCTAAGCACATATACAATTCTAGAGTTTAATGATATTATTTTCCTGCCTCTCTTAGCTTCATGATGGTGATTACAGCCCTGTGTTAGATGCAACCTTTGTCATGGTGGCTCGGGATCCGGAGAATAAACGGTAATTTGTGGGACAGGAAAATAGTTTTCAGACTCCTGCTGGGCTGAAAATGGCAAACATGGCAGCTTGTGCTGTATATGTAGAAGCTATATAGTGTAGGTGATAAATAAATCACACAGTTGATGTTTTCTGCTGGCAAGTGTTAACTCCCCTGTGACAAGCTTCAGAGCATTGATTTTGGCAGTCAGCTGATACCAGGAATTGCTGGTGGTCTTGGGATCTGACTCCTTTCTTGGACAGATTTTCCCTGTGTTTGAGTGACTGGCCTGAGTGAACACAGAAGTGAATGAGTCTGCCAGAAACCCACCTGCATTCTAGTGGTTGTTAGAATTAAAGATTGAGTTGTAGTGGTTAAATAATCTTTTGGTGAACAATACCATTAATTCCCTAATTAGGCACTTGATAGGTGTCATCACAATAATCCAGGCTTAAACTTGCTTGTGTAACTAACATGGAATTGATTAGTATTCCCACAGATCTTAAAAAACCCTGAAACACTAACTCTGTTATTTTTCTGGTTTTACTTTCTCTGCAATTCCATAGTCATTAACTAACAGGCTGCTCAGTTTCAGTTCTGGCTTTTGACTCCAGCATCAGAACAATTGATTGTATTTCATACCTCTTTCCTGTATAGCCTGCCAAAGTAATAAAAGTTTTTCTAACTAGTTTAAATAATTGCTTGTATTTAATGAAGAAGGTTGTGTTTAGTGAAGAGGTTTTACTTGATGTAATTATGTAGCCCTCATAACATTAGAAGTAGTTTCTAGGTTGGTTTCCCTCGGATTCTTTTTTTAGAACCCATGAACACACTATAATTAAGAAAACCACTTATATTTATGGTTCCCATTTTAAGGACCAGTTTTGCAAAATAATTAGATCAAATCTAATGTAATTATACACTAGCACATTGACTAAGGACAAGCCTACATGGACTTGTGCAGATAGATGCAAACTTCAGTGGCTGTTGTACAGACTAGCTGGCCACAAGCCAGCTGTGTTTTGGCAGCGTTCTGTCCGTACAAGGAGGATATTTATGAGAGAGAGAGAGGTACAGGGTACAGGTTGGCTGTAGTGCCTTTTGGACCATAGCAAACTTGCATCTCAGCAGCCTGAGCCCTGGACATGAGAGCTGATGTAGATGTGTCCTGAGCTGGGGAGAGGGGAAAAAAGCTCAGTGGTGGTGAAGGAGCTGCTTTGTCACCAAAATCCAGAGGTTTAGCAAACCAGGAAAGAGCAGTTCGTTCTAGGAGAAAGGATTCCCCTCTGTATGCCCCTTGTCACCAGCCCCAGTAAAGGCTTGAGGTAGAGGTGAATTGTTCAGCAGATATTTGTGTGTGTGTATATGTTGTTTGGAGCATTTGTCCAAGTGTTGAAAATAGAAAAACAATAATTAGAAATTGTGGGAAAGAATGGTTCTTGAAAATAAGCATTTGCCTTTACTTGTGAAAAGAAATAATTAAATGCTATATAATTAGGTTAAATTTATTTGTGCAGTAAAATAAACATACAAGTTTGAGCTGAAGGCATGTCATAATCTCCTCTGATAAGTGGTACACGTGGTAAACAGCTTTTGGCTGTTGATAAGGCTGTCATGGGAACATGTGGGTCATAAAAACACTTGCTATGGCACTGTGCTCTTTCTATTCCAGAAGGAATGGTACCATGCAAGTTTTGGTTTAGGCTATCCTGGATCATCATGTTCTCTTTTGCTGAGTTGCTAAGCAGCTTTCTGCTAGAATAATCTTCATTATAATTTATGGGTACACTTCTAGCTTCTTATGGAACATAGGTGCATCACTTGCTCTTTCTTAATTACAGTAGGTAGTGGCTGGATCTTCATTACACTACACAGTGGTTGGATCACTTAACTGCCTCTCCAGAGTTAAATCTAATGTAATATTCTGTTGGTAGCTGCACATTATGAAGTAATGTATTTATTCATCTTGTACCATGTATGTAAGCAAAAATGGAAGGCTGTTATAATGTATTTACAGGACAAATTCTTGTAAAATTTGTAACTTAAAAAAAAAATTCTGTCCCTAGGCCAGCATTTGTTAATCCACTTGTCCCTGAGAGCCCTGAGGAGGAAGCAATCTTCAAGCAAGGGGAATGTATGTCATGATTCCTGGTAGTATGCACATCTGCCTTGGGTTCAACTTAGTAGCTGGAAGGAAGTAAACTTCAGAAGTTCTGCTACTTAGAAATGCTCCTGATTTGTTTAAAATCCGATTTGTGTGTCTGTAGTGTAAGAGAGTTTAAAACCCTGCTATCACATGCTTGGAAACTCTGGCTAAACTGACAGACAAAGGCACTCCTGGTGTGCCCTGCACATCCCGAGGTGCTCCCTCTGCTTGGGATCTGAGTGCAGCACAGGCTGATTGCCCCCATGTCGGCCTGCTGAGTGCATCACAACTTCTCACCTGTCTGGGCACCACGTTCCTTTTGGAGAGAAACTCAGAAAAGGAAAAGGAGGAGAGCAGGGGAAGGAGTGTGTAGCTCTGTCTTTTTGTGTTTTAAGCTGGAATTTTGAAGCAGAGAGTTAGGAAAACATTGAAGACTGAATAAACTGGACAGAAGATCTTCTAAGCTAAAATTTCAGTTGTTGTGGCCTATGGTAATGAGTTCTGTCAAACTTCCATTCTTGTACCATTGGCAAATCCTGAAGGTGATAGTTTGTTCTGCAGGGTTTCTTGTTAGATATGGTTTTTTTGTACTCAAGTTTTCTGTAGGAGCCGTGGGTGGATATCATAGTGTATGTATAGAAGTTCTTTGTCAGATTGTTGAGGTAACAACAATGCTTTTTTTCTGCTTTGTTTCTTCTTTGATGCAGTTAATTTTAAAAGCCAAATTTCTATTTGAATCCATGGGACCATGAAGTCATAGCTTTTAACTTACAGGGAGGAAAATTAAAAAGGAAAGACAGTTGATTCCAGGTTAAAATCTTCAGAGCCATTATTTGTTTTTGCTTTGAACTCTAATACTTTTTTTTAATATTTAGTGAACAAGCTGAAGAGGATTGATTTCAGCACTGCTTCCTTACTGAAAATGGCTCCCACTGCAGAAGAAAGAAATATTATACATGACATATTCCTTAATACATTGGACACAAGGCAAGAAGGGGAGGGGTGGAGGAGAACTGATGTCTTTGAAAAAGTAGATTGCCTTTTGGGAGGGTGCTCACAAGAGGGTAGTCTGCAACAAATTCTGTGATGCTTTATTTGCAACACAGGTACAAACTTAAATGTGGCATCTGCAGCTCCCAAGAGAGTTTTCTGTTGTTATATAGCAATAGCTGTGCCAAGATGGTAAAAGTGGCAATATAAGCAAAAAGAGCTTCTGAACAAGCTGTTAGGAATGATCTTGAGGAAAAAAGGTTAATAGTGTTTAACCAAATAAGGGAATGGAATGGTTTTGCAGCCATGTGACTTGCACAATCTAAGAATTTTGTGCCATGATATCTAGACTAAAAACCCATGAGGGCAGGAACTGGCCATAATTTGACCAGGTATCCTTGCAGTGTGTTTTAAACATAATACCTGACAATGTTATTTGGTGGAGACTGTTGTTGGCATGCTTCTCTTTTACGTGAGATTGGTGTGAAGTTGTCTGGTGTGAGTGGTGATAGAACAGTGCCTAATGACATTTAGTGCAATGTTGTATTTGTGAGAATATATGATTTCTTTAACTTATTAACACTATACAATTGTTATTTTCAAAGGAGTTTACCAGAGTGAGACATGCTTTTCCTTAAAATTAGCAGGTGTATTTTGTGCACATTCTGTCTGGATTTGAAAGCCTCAAACTGTCTGCATGTTTGGTATTGAATTACTCTGTTAGATCATTGTGTGCTTTTAATTCATATTATGACTTAAAAAACAGAGCAAGGCTTTTCTGACAAAGTATGTGCTTTGTGCTTGTAATTCATCTTTTCTTTCCTGTACCTTTCTTGAGCTTCTTCAGTCACATAAGCTGGAGCATTGGCAGAAGTTTTTGAAAGATCCAGAGTGTAGGTTTATTGCAGTAGCAAATCACAATGCCACTTTAGATAAGGCTTCAAGGTCAGTTGGAACAGCATTTAGTGATACCAGTTCTGTTTTGGGGTTTTATTTTTGTGTTCTATTATATTTTTGCAGTTTGTTTTAGTGTGTGTGCCTGCATTTGCTATTCATGCATTTTTGACTTGCTGAATTCTGCTAATTCTGTGGGCTATAAAGTTTATTGTCTCTTCCAAAGGACAGTAAGTTTCCGGAGTCGTAAATTACCACCTAATTCAGTGTGGATGGAAGATACAAAGCTAAAAGGTTTACAGATTTGCCATCCTCAGGTATTTTGAAAAAATATTACTGAATTACAGAAAGTTACTTATGAAGTAACTTCAAGAGGGACTTCTTACAAGTGCATGCGGTGATAGAACAAGGGGAAAGGGCTTTAAACTGAAAGAGAGCAGGTTTAGATTAGATGTGAGGAAAAAATTCTTTACTGTGAGGGTGGTTAGACACTGGCACAGGTTGCCCAGGGAAGCTGTGGATGCCCCATCCCTGGAAGGGTTCAAGGCCAGGGGATGGGGCTTTGAGCAACGTGGTCTAGTGGGTGGCATCCCTGCCCAGGGCAGGGAGCTTAGAACTAGGTGGTCTTGAAGGTCCCTTCCAACCCAAAGCATTCTATGACTCTTTGAATTGTCATGTGAGATTAATCTATCTATAAATTTGTTTTGCTTCTGCAATCCATGCAATGTATTTAGATCTCAATTTTGTTTGCCATTTTTTATTATCTGTATGGGTTACCACTGCAAAATAGAAGATGACCTTATTTCTTACCGGACTATTCATTCTGTGTAAATAAATTCCTTTGCTAATTGTTTGCAAAAAGTTTGGCCTTTGGTTGCTGACACAATTTCGACATGTTATCTTATGTTATCAAATGAGTCAGATGAGCTCCTATTAAGTAAAGTTGCCTTAGGCATTTTGATTTTGCATGTATGTTTTAGCAATGCTTTTTATACATTCAGGTCTTGGGACTTGTGTTAAATACTGGGAACTGAAGTGCAGACTTCAACAAAATGCTTTAAAAAGAATTTTGATTTTTGTTTCTACATACAGGAACGGAACATCTTCAACAGGATCTTTGGGGGTTTTCTCATGAGAAAGGCATTTGAACTGGGATGGGCAACTGCTTGCAGCTATGGGTGAGTTCTGGACCTGCAGTATTTACACAATCCAGAGCACTCTGCACATGCACATAGGTCAGGAAGCCAGGCTAATCATCCTAATAAGAATCTGAGCCGAAAAAACCTAGGTGTCTAGTGGAATCTTGCACTGTTACTGCACATCACTGTCTTACTTAGGGCATCTGTCATATTTACAAAGTGATTTGCATCTTGCTCCTTGGAGCTTGGTTTTTAAGTATTGTCAAGTTAGGAAGTATATCCATTTTCTGTTTTCTTTTATCTTACCAAGCTGTTGAGATGGACCTTTGAAGAAATGTTTTCTTTGTAACCATATAAAATAGTTATTCTATTAAATAAATATTACATCATTCCATACACAAGAGGAGTGGTTTCTGAACTTCTAGTAACTGCTGGAGCTTAGGAGGTATGACTGAAGTCATCACCCAGCGAAGATCTATGTGTAAGTTTAATGGAGTAGCCAGATATATAGTGACAGCCTGATATAAAGTGAAGTGGTTTATGCCAGTGCTTGGAACACTGAGGCCTGAGCAATGATGGCTTGGAGATTGTCTAGCATGTACAAGTCATAAGATACAACAATGATGCAATAATGTGTCCTTAGAGAGTGTGTACTTTTATTGGGGTGAGCGATTTCCTCCAGTTATTTTTGTCTTGGGTGATGACATAATTCTTTACCACTTCCTGTGGCCTCTGTTTAAGGAAGAGATTTATTCTCTAGTAACCCTTCTTTAAAATGTTGACGATGAAATATTTTAAATTTCTCCAAATATCCTTTTTATTCTTTAGAAGAAATTTCTCTTTTGCTTTCTCAGTGGTTCCAGACCCTTCATTGTATCCGTTGATGATATCATGTTTCAGAAGCCAGTTGAGGTTGGATCCTTATTACTGCTTTCTGGACAGGTACGAGTTGATTTCTTTTTGAGAAGGAACAAACCTTATTTTTGCTGTCATCACTGTTAGTCACTGATAATGAACAGTGTAACATTAGAGTGTGTGACTAACGGTGTAATGAAGTCTGTTACAGTTTTCAGCGCTGGTGATAAATTACAAGCTGTAACTCTTGTCTTAACTGTGTAGGTCTGTTACACAGAAAAGAACTACATCCAGATTCGAGTACACAGCGAGGTTTACGATGCAGATACCAGGGAGCACCATACTACCAATATCTTCCACTTTACATTTATATCAGAAAATGAGGTCCCAAGCGTAGTGCCTAAAACATATGGAGGTAAGTATGCAATTAATGTGTTGTCATCATAAATCTGATCATTTTAGTACATGAACTATTGGCATCCAAATGATTTAACAGGATTTCATGGCAAATCACATTTATTTTATGCTTTGATGACAGTGTAGATTGCTTCTTACTCTTGCCAATCTATGTAGTTGCCCAGTATTGATACTAAATTACTAATGTGGTTCTCTCTTTTCTTAACTTTTCTTCAGAGTCCATGTTGTATTTGGATGGGAAGCGACATTTTGCTGCAGTCATGAAAGAAATCTGACAAGCACTGGGTGCTGCATTGGCAGTGTAGCAGCATGCTGGCTTGGAAGGAGTTGTCACCAGAGCTGGCTAATGGACAGGTGCTTGCAATACTCAAAAAACCCCCCAACAACAACCCAAAACCAGAACAAAACCAAACCAAACCCAAACCCTACAGCAAACCCCATCTTTTTAGCGCTCTTTATGTATTTGCATATATTTGGATTTTTTATTCTTGCTACTGGAATTTGTTGAAATCTACTTTTACATGCTGATGCTAGGAAAATAAGGCTGAAAAAATATGCTTTCAAGCTTTAGATATCTTCTCTTTGTCTACTTTAAGAGATCTCATTACAATCTTTGCTGTCTTGTCACCATCTGCCTTCTTTCCCTTAAATCTTCTCTTTGTCTACTTTAAGAGATCCCATTACAATCTTTCCTGTCTTCTCACCATCTGCCTTCTTTCCCTTAGGAGCTCTCCTTTGTGTTTCCCTGATAAGGGATAGAAGTTCTGTCGGAAAAACATGTGCAATAAGCAGATATGCACAGGCGAAGCACTTTGACCTACTTGCTTGTGTAAATTAAGTTTAGGGTCATCATTTTTTTAAACAAGGACACATACATCTAGGCAGCAGCATAGGCTCAGAAGTTGGTAGTGTGTGCACAATGTGAAGCAGGTGTTTCCCATCAGTGGGGATTTTACAAGGTTATTTCAGCTTCTGTTTTGGATGGTTTCATGTTCCCTTGGGAGAAAACTGTTTTTTGCAATGAAATGAGATGGCCAGATGGTATCTTCTGGCATTCTGTCTGTGTACAGCCAGTCCTTGCGAGCCTCTTCCAATTTCTTGTTTGTTTGTTTTAATATATAACTGTAAGTGAGTTCCTTAGTGAATTATTTCTCATGGCCTGGAGACTAGAGATCTGATTGGTGAGATTGTGTAGGACTGGGAAATAGCATTGTAGAACAGAACATTTTGGTTTGTTAAGGATTGGGAACAAAAAAAAAAAGTAAAATGCTGCCTAAATGGTAATGGTGATGTTTGATGCTGGAGTTAGGGGTCCAGAGAATCTGTGTTGAGCAGCTCCCAAGTGAGCTGCTGAATGGTGGGAGGTTCTTTGTCCCACTGAGGGCTGGTACAGCTAGAGGACAGCCTCCTTCTCAGCTGGATTACTAAGCTGGTTCCTTGGTGGACTGTAATGCAGTATGAGTAGATGGGAAGCATCAGCTTTTAGCAGTGAGGAGAATTAGTCACAAGCACAAAACTGGACCTTTGATACCTTCAAATCAATAATGATACCCTGTCTGATCAAGACACCCAAAGAGTTGTCTTTGAGTTGGGCTCAATGGTAGGTTAAATGGATGAAATCTGATGTCTCATGATTCACAAGAACAGACTCTCAGCTTCCCTGCAGGGTTTAAAATCTTTTGAAAAGAGGAAGCAGCAAGTGGAAATTATGTAAATCAGCACAGATGCACAAAACAGGCTGATAAAATAAAGCAGCACGCTGACATTTTATTTCCGAGTAAGAAAGTCTGAGAAATTCACAGTTAGGACCAGCTTCCTTTGGTGCCAGGATGGCATGAAGTTGATGGCCCCTAACAGCTGATTGCTATTGCTGTGAGGAGGGTGAGTGTTACAATAACCAGAGTGTTACACATCTTTTCTAAGATTTGACTGCATTACTGATGAGTTGCACAGAGAGCTTTCCAGGGGAGGCACAGGGGTGTTGCCTCATCCAGATCAGATTAATGCACTGTCGTGATAATAAGCTCTTGCTTCCTTCTGTAGTGTTTCTTTCTACAACTGTTACAATGTTAGAATCCTTTTCTTTAATGGTTATGATGCTGTGGACATGTATTGCATTTTCTGGGCTTCTTTGTGAAACTCCTTGGAAGCTGAATACACTTGACTGACCACACAAAATAAAGAACTGAAATTCTGTCTCAGCTTCTTCACCCCTCGCTGCAGGGATTACTGCTGACTGTTGAAGGCAGGACGTGGAGGGATCTGTTTCAGAGCTATGCATTACTCCTGACTATCTGCAGGTTTCTATCACTGACCTAGTAGTCCTACCTGGGTCACTTTTGTGTAACACTTGTAAGTTAAGTTCTTCCTTTGCTGCCTTATCAGCTGTAGTTAAAAATGAACAAATTGTAATTTCTACATTCAGCCTTCAGGAAGGGATTGGAGAGGAGAAAAAGAGGTAGAGTAGGGAGCAAGGTGTGACATCAGAACCTTTGGGCACGGTGAAGAAAATGAATCCTGCGAATGAAGATGGTTAGAAGAATTAGTGTGTTCTCAAAGTTCATGATAATCACATGTCACAGTGACAGTAGTTACAGAATAATATGTACAGACATATACAGTGTGTGTATATATATATGCATATGTAAAAGATATGTCTTTATTACTCTCTCTATATATGCACTCTGTATTTTTTACTCTGAGAAAGTAGCTTCCAGTTGTCACCCTCTCTGATGATGGGCTATGTATTTCTTTGTTAATGGGTATGCATGCTGCTTTATACCTTTGTACGAGAGAAAATTGTTCTCAGATCTTACAGTGCCCAAAGAAGCACTTTGTTTTAAATGTTTTTATTTTTCTGTGGTTGAAAAAAATAAATTACTTACTTAAACTGACTGTAACAGCTTCTGGTAGCCCTTTACAAATGTTCACCATTCCTTTGCAGACATGTTGTGGTGTAGAGTGTTCTGGGAAGAAGCTTGCAGGAGCTGGTGCAGCATGGGCCACAGAGCAGGGGCTTTAGTTCAGAACCTGCTCTAAATTTACTGCATGCTGAATTGGTTTTACTGCATATTCAGCCCAGCCTTTGTCTGGTGACAGACTGGTTTGATTGCTGGTCCTTCTCTGAATGCATTTTTAACTGGGTGTGGGAGAGATGATTTTTTCACTTTATCTGGTAACTGTTCAGCAGAAAATTCAGAACCAGCCCTGCAGCAGGGACCAGTCTCCCAGGCCCTCCGTGTCTGCCAGGCTGATGGTGAGTCTGTGAGGGGGTTATCTCCAGAATTTAATGCTGCCTAAAGAGAGTTTCTTCTTACATTACAAGCAGGCAGGCATCAGGGCTCTGCACAGCAGGAGAGGCAGGGCTGGCTGCCTGGGGAGGCAGAGCTTCCTCAGAGCATCCAGGTGTGGTGGAGCAGCATCTGCAGGTGTTGGTCCATGAGACAAACTTGAAGTCCCAAGGTGAGGGAGGTCACAAAAGTTCCTACTCCAGCTAGATGCATGCTGCTTGGAGAGGTGGCTTTCACCTGCAGATCTCACCACCATTTATAGTTTAACAGCTGAGAGAGCAGTCAAGGGGTGTGAAGTTAAGACTGTGTCTCATTACTAGTCATTACTTGCTTTGCAGGAGCTCTTTGCTTTCTCAGGTGAGAAGACAGGTTTACAATGGCATCTGCATTTTATGCACTGCAAAGAGAGGCCCATGAGTACATTCCAGAGTTTGGAAAGCAGAGGTGTGTGAGATCTAATTCTTCCACAATTTCAACCCTCAGGTGAAGAGTACTGGAAGAACAAACTGCTTTGTCATTTGTTCATTTCAAATATGTAATGACACATGGCAGCTCAGGTCTTTGCTTAAGGACTATTTCCCTAAGACTTTTTATCCCCATTGAACTGATTTTTTTACAAAAACAATTCCTTAGCCCATACCTTACCACGTGCATTTAAAATGTAAGTGTGCATTTAAAAAAGCCTTCAAAGCTGACACTGCTACACTGCTGTGAACCTAAATTTGCAATGGTCAAAGCTTGCAGATGGCCCCAGTTTTCTTCAGTCACTATGTGTTCTCAGTCCAGTTTTCTCTTCTTGAAAGAAGAAATTCATGTACATGAGCCACAAGAGCTTCTGATGATCATTGTGTATGTCATACCAACCTTGGGAAAGACTACAACTACTCCCATAAAACTAGGAGTCACAGCTAACAAGCAGATCAGCACAGGATGCTAAATACTCTGTCCATCTATTGACAGTGCAGGGACAGGTTAAAATTCAGACTGTGTGAAACAGAATCAATCTTATCAGCAAGTGAACTACAAATTCAAATGTGGAAAAATGTACTGGTTCAGCTCTTGAATTACACGAACCAGCACAGCTGTACTTTTTTCAGCGCAGTTGTACTGATTTCTGTAGTGTGGGGTATGTTCTTAGTAGTTTAAAAATGTTTCTAGCTTTGGGAAAATTGGAAACTTAATTCAGCAACTGTAACATGTTTCTGGCTTTTGGGGTAGCTGCTGAACTATAGACTAATGTGCCATAACCAAGTGGCTCTTTTTTAGCTGTACTTCCTAGAATGTGACCGAAGAGACAAGATTTTTGTGGAAATTAAGTAGCTCATTAATAGCAAAAGTCATGAATCTAAGCCCAAGATGCTAAGAGAAGTAAATTTGGGGAAGACTGGGAATGTAAACAAGACTTGCAGGGAAAACATGCATTTCATAAGCATATTCTCTGATAGCTAAGGAGGTACCTGTGCTTCACACAGGTTAGACTTCTGTTTAAACAGTGAGACTTTTAATGTTTTACTGCAGCTACATACTAGTCAAACTCACAAAAGTACCAAAATTAGCGAAATTTTATTGGCAAAAATCAAGTTGAATGTGACCTATGTAATTCAACAAAGGTAGAATCAGTTTAGCTTATCAAAATACTTCAGTTTTCCTGCAGGATCTGGAATTATCTGTGCAAGAAAGAAAATGAAAATGTTAGTCAAAAACCAAAGCCAAGAAAACACAATGAACTATAAAGCCATAACAGCACAGTATTTCATAGTAAGATAAAATCAGTTGACTTGCTGCTAGATAACTGTTTATCTCTAAAGGTACCTAACAGCAGTAGCAGAGAGATTTAATTGATTGAGGCATGACAGAGAGTGCAGCCTACCAAAGGAAGAATTTGGACAGCTTGCCCCAAAAGCAAGATATTTTAATAAATTCATGTCTGTAATCAAGAGTCTTAGAAATTACTTACAGTTCTTCCCTTGGCCACCACACTCTCATGGCTTCCTCTGGTTTGATCTAATGAAATCAAACACATTTAGAAGGCACGGCTACATCTTTGAGAAAGGCTTTTTGAGCTACTCTGCTATTTAAATTATCTGCAGCTTTTGCACAGAGGAGATGCAGAATGCTTATGTATTGTTTTAGATTTTAAAACTGGCAGTACTGGAGATGTTAATCTCAGCACTGTAAGACTTTTTTAGAAAATATGTTAAGGTCATGTTATTTAGGTGATCCTAGTTATGGAGGGCAGAAGTTTTTAGTGCCAAGATATGAATGTTAGGCCACCCAGGCCTCTTTCATTTTACAGTCTTAATGTCCAGCTTCCCCCACAATCACACTCCTCTGCTTGCTTGAAAGAATTGACTCCTAGCTTCCAGTCATCCTGGGAAGTTTTCACATCCAGCAATGAAACATGGTTTAACATTCCACTGTGTTTTACTATCAAGTAGTGCTCACTACTCTGCTTAGAGGCTGCTGGGACATGCTTTTTGTTGAGGTAGCACTTAAACAACAGTGCTCTGTCATCACCAGATGGTTCAGAAGGAAGCCACATGGTCAAATAAATGACAGTGATCTCACCAAAACGAGGCAGCTCAGACCTCCAGTGAAAGTTTCATTATTCTGCTGAGCCTTGCTCCAAGCCAGAGAACACAAACAAGTTCAATGGGTGTTTATCTGAACTCTGGCTCCTCTGCTTGGAGTCACATGGAGGCGAGCAGGAACAAAGGAGGAAGAGTAATTGCGCAGCAAAGCAGTGCTCTCTGCTGGAGAGTGCCACGCTGGCTCTGGCAGACACTGCAGCAGCCTGGGAACTTCTGCTTTTTTTTGGGTAGGTCCTAGGATCCACAGTAAGAATCAATAGTACCAAGAATTTATATGGACAAATAACTGACAAGATAGGACAAACTCAAGAGTTTCCAACTTCTTCTTATCAGGTGTTCACAGGAAAAAAAGCTTTTGAACACAAACTCATTGCTGCTCAAGAGAGTTTTGTTCACACACTGGGAATTTGAAACAACTAGAATATATCTAGTGTGAGGGAAAAATGCCCCTAATGAAATCAAGAGTAATCCAAAAGCTGTAACTATAATAATGTGAGATTACTCATATCTTCTCACTGAAAGTTGCGAAGATTTTGGATTTGGCTCTAGTGGGAATGATAACTGAGTTTTTATTAGTAATACATACACATAAATATAAACAGTGACTTACTGTTTCACTGCCAGGTTTCCAACCAGCAGGGCAAACTGGAAAAAAAAAAGGACAAAGTGAGCTAAGGTATTTTCACACACACTGACTTCTGTGCACGTAATTATCTTTCTGATCTTGAAGTAAAACACCATGCAAGTGTCAAATGTAAATATCTGAAACTATTAAATGTTTAGTTTTCTTTATACATGGGATAGTGACATAACAGTTGATAACTGACACCACCCACCACTTCTGTTACCTAGAATCTGCAGATCTCTCTATGGATGTCTTATGCCTTGGTTTAATTCTTGTGCCCTTCTAGGCAAAGTACTGGCAAACCAGTACCTGAGAATGAACACCTATTCTAGCAGAAACAAAAGTTTCATAATAAAATTCGGGTGACTACAGAGACCTGCCTTTCTTTCTTTAAAACCAAAGGTAGGGGAATTTGTTAGTAAAGAAATCAGTTCCAAGATTCCACAAGAGACTGATTTCATCTGGAGCCTTGCTTAGGAGTAAAGTGGTTATAGCATGTGGTTACCACACAGTGTGGCTGGGAGCCCTGTCACCCCCTGTATGGCTGCACATTCTGGAGTGAAGCTCTTATCCCTTCAGAGTTTTCCCTGTGAGGCTTTAGCCCAATGAGTATTACACTGCTTTAAGGCATGCTGACAGACAAAACGCCACAAATGCAAACAAAAATTGTGGAGAACTTTTTTCATATTCTGTGCAGAGAAACCAAGAGAGTGCAAAAGCTGGAAAAAATGTGATACTCTGGAAACACACTGCAGATCAGTATTCTGTAAGATGGCTTTGTAACTAAATCAAGGTAAATTTCCTTAAGTCTAATGTGCACAGCCTAAGTATCAGCATTTATCTTTTCAAATCTGTACAGCAAAGCATAATAATGATTTGTACATGCACATAAAGATACTTACAAATGCCTGCTGAAATTGAGCTGAATTGGAAGTTAAGCTGCTGAACATGTGTATTCATATATAAACAAATCTTCACATAAATGAATATGTTTATTTAAACACGTTACTTAAAGAAATGTGAAAAGTTCACCCTGTGCTTGAACTGGAGGACTATCTTTGTCAGGGGAAGGTGATCATATACCACTTACAAAGAAAACACGGGCAAGGGCCCTGAAACTTGCACTGTATCACATTGCACTGTATCACATTGTATCTCGACATGAAACTTACTTAAGTGTCACAGAGCCTCAGTGAATGACAAAGGACAAGGATGGCCTGCATCTCAATTACTTTAGGATGCAAAAATGTACTGAAATATTGGGTCTGATTCCTCACAGCCTCGTATGCTGTACAAATTACTGCTTGTGACACGTGGTACATAATGCCTTAATTCAGACTAAGGAATGCTTTATGCTCTGCATTCTCATGGATGTGAAGCAAAATGTGAATTACTATTCTAGAAACAACCTAAGGAGGCAGTGGGACCACAGAGCCTTGCAACAGGGCAGTCAAACCACTTTACTCACTGCACGAGGCCAGTCCCTAATGCTACTGAGTACCCTTCCTCCTGAAAGGAACAAATACAGCTGCCAGCCTAAGTAAAACAATTTTCAGTGTGACAGTATTTAAAAGAGCACCTTCTCCATGTTTGTCTGTGTACTGGAATGCTTGTACTAATCGAAGTGTTTCATCCACTGATCTCCCAACAGGAAGGTCATTCATTGTGATCTGCCGAAGGATTCTCTTATCGTCAACGATGAAAAGGCCTCTGTGAAAACATTTTTGGTGTGTGTTAGGCAACAGAATTATAGTGTTGTGTTTACACAATATTTTACGTCTGTTGGATGGGAGGAATTGGATCTTTGCAAACACCATACAATATCCACCACCTCAGAATACCAGTAACCTACTATTCCTGACCAGGGTATTAGGTGACACTAGCTGAGGGTAAGTTAAAACAGGACACCTCCCTGCAGAACAGAAAACTAAGCTTTGACCAGCCCTGCCAGGGGATGCTGCAGATGCTATGGCATTACAGGGATCCCAAAAGCAACTATTCAGTTTTATGAAAAGTGTATCTCTTGAGGCTATTAGGTAACCTTAGTCTTGACTCCACTTGGACTTGGGAGGTGACTGGTGACTGCGTGTCAAAGAGGATATTAGCCTCAACCCCTGTTTTGACTCATAATGACTATTTTTTTGTGTTCTTCAATATTTTTTTGTCTCTTGACATGATTCCCCAAGTAAAATCTGCTCTTAAAGAAAACTTTCCAACGCTTCTTTAAATATAAGGCAGTAAGTACTACCCCAGCAATAACTCAACAGAACTGTAACCAAGTGAAATACCTAAGTGTATGCCCTTGATCTTCCAGATACACTCCATAATCCTTTGAAATTTGGTGTGTCAAATCTGAAAGAAGGGGAATCTTCATTGGTCCAAGTCCTCCTTGTTTTCGAGGAGTATTAATCCTTTGAAAGAAAAGAGATACAGATGCATTTTTCATAGATTTATAATCCCTTACGAAGTCAGAAGTCACAAACCAGGACAGTATGGACAGAAGGATTTAGTGCAAGTGACATTTTTTTTGTCCTGCACACAGGGGAGATCAACTATTTATGGTTTGAACAAAATGTTCAGTAGGTCTTTTGCAGGTTGTGGCCACACCTATTAATGATGACCTCTTTCTATCAGTTGCATTTGCTCTAAGCCAACGTGCTCATAAACTGGGACAGCATGAAGCAATTACTGATATTTGCATTGTTATACATTTCTTTTTGTATTTGTAGAATTTTTTTGGCCTGAAACATGACATTAAACAAGCTTCAAAGAAAAAGGTACTTTCACACAATAGGATTAAAAATTTCTGTTTTAAACATCTGTGGCAATAGCATCACACTTTCACACATTATGAAATACCTACAGAGGCTAAAAATCTGGAGAATACTGTTCAGCTAAGAGGGAGCCATGAATAATTTTTAGTGAAAGAGGAGATCAAGATACATACCATGCTAAGTGAGTGAACTTTGAGTCCACAGAACATGCTACTACTTCAGTATTTATTGCTCTGAATTCTTCAATTCGGTCACTGAAGGCAATTATCTCAGTTGGGCACACAAAAGTACTAGATAATTTAAGACAAGATAAAGTCAAAATTTCATGAAACATTCAAGAAGTTCTTAGCTTAACATAAAATGGTGGATTTATCATGAATCATTTCAGCTTTTACTTAGTTTTATTGCTTCTTCAAGTACTTAACCAAAATGCTGCCTGACACATCTGCCACCCTCAGACTCTAGCTAAGTTACAAATGGTTTATTACTGGTGACTATAAACCTATAGTTACCTTACAGTGTATTCAAAGAGTTTTTACAGTTACTTTCTTTTAGATGTCATGAATTAAGTGACTGAATTTAAGCACATTAAACCAATTTTTCAGAGGATTATAATATAATTTGTTATTCCTACACATATCTGCAAGTTTAAACTATTTTGTCTTCAACTTTTTTCCACCACAGAAGAAATAAAGGGTAAAGATCACCATTTATCGTGTTTTGAAGCTAACAATGTTATAATATTAAAGTAGTTATGCATCTCTGTCCTCTTATCGTCATGTTGTGGAAAAGTGTGGGATTGTCTCTTAGAAAGCAAAGCTGTTTTCATGCAGTCAGTAAAGTTACAGAACTCTAAATAAAGAAGGGCAATGTTAAGTGCTCTTAGAATGTTATGGGATGAGCTTAAAGGAAAAATGCCACCTCTCGGATACACTATATACACTTCAGAAAATATAGATGGGATGCTGTCTTCTGTTTCCAGCAGTGATTTACAGCATTAAACCCAACACAGGTTGCCTGACTGGGTACTACAGGCAAAGTTGTTGGGGTTTTTTTCATGTAGAGACACAAATTAGTGGACACACTTATTAGCACAAAGATTGTGTTACAATTTTACCAATGCATGATGAAAATACAAATGCAAAGAATATATTTTCTTCTGTCACTCCTTTCTTCTCTCTCAAATCCTTACCAAATGAAAAAAACAAGACCTCAGAAAAAGTGAAAAATTAATGAATTATGAATCTAGTGTAGCTGCACTCAGTCTTGGTATGTCTGAAGTGGTCTTACTTACAAGTCAAGAGGATAGAAGAAGAAGACAAGATATTTTCCTTCATAATCTGTTAATTTCAGCTCTTTAAATTCTCCATTAATGACTGCTGTTCCCTCCCAGTAAGGTGCTGGCTTGGAGACTGAAATGCAAAGAATGTTCAATTAAAAGTCAGAACACAAAGCCCATGTTCAAACTAAAGCTGTCAGTTAGCTACTTGGTGTGCAAGGACAGCTGTTCCTCCTTTAGCCTGAAAATCTGGTGCACATAGTTACAACATGAAACTGCTCTACAACTCTAAATGGGGAACACAGAATGGTGAAGAAATGTAGGTTTTAGTATACATGGGAAGTAAATAATTCAACCAATTTGTGCTCATAAACAAGCCCTGTGAATCACTGCTAATCCAGGACACACAAACCTTATCTGGGCATACTGAACAAACCACACGTGCACCACCAGCCCAAGGCAGAACACCTGGAGGGGAAGCTGTTTAATATTTCAGGTTCCCACGCTGTTATGAAGAGCTGTTGCGAACCAGAAGCACAAGTTGGTTCAAATCCATATTTTTACTTTTTAGCCATGAAAAACTACTTTGAATTCAACTCCACAAAAATCACACACTACACCATGTTTAGAGACAAATACCTAAAAGTGCAGTGTCTGTTTACTGGACTACAACTCCTATGCAAATTGTAACTTGAAAACAGCTGTTTTAAAAAAATATGCAAATAAAATGCACGAAATGTATTTACTATTCTTATCAAAAGGGATTAACCTTGATTTAAAATATTAAAAATAAATCTGCCAAATCTACTCTTTTCATAGCAATGTGAATTCTGAGATAAAGGACAGGGTATGCTGGAGTTACAAGGTAATCTGAATGCACTTGTGATGTCAAGGACATTGATAGCAGCTCCAGAAAATCAGAGAAATGCTGCTGAGAAAAATATATGGAATCTTAACTAGTATCTGGCTGGTGACTGTGTTGTTTGGTTCTCCTTAGGACAACCCACAGCAGAGGAATATAGTTAGTGAGGATGTGTAACAAGGACTGCAAAACCCACCCCAAATCGTAAGACAGATCACACCTGTGAAAGGGAAGGCTTTGGTTTAACTTCATATAATCTACAAGGGACACAGCAATACAAGTACTGAAAGTCAGCAGGTATGACTTATACCCTGGCTCAGCAGAGGAAAAGGTTTTCAAAGCTGTAAATTCTCACTGTGCAGATCATTTCTGCATGACCTCTATTCTCTGTTCTGCAGAACTGGACTTTGGGAGAGCATCTGACCACTCGAGCAGGTGCCCCAGAACATATGTGCAACGTAATTTAAGATGTTTGCACCTAGGTCTGTCATAAAGCATTTAAATCACACGACAGCGTAGGCACAGCAGCAAGTGACAAACCCAGCCCGGTAACAGCTGGTGAGCCTCACCAGCCGCGCTCGTTCAGCGTTTCTAATCATAGCATGAGCACAAAACACTTCTGCGTATTGTTTCAATCGCTTCCCTAAATCATTCTCCATTCTGGAGCCACAGACCCTGCCGAGCGCCCACCAAACGCTGAGCTCGCTGCCAACTGAGCACGATGGACACGTCGGTCTGGGAGCGCCGGCGCAAGGAGGGGAGGGAGACGGGGCTGACTCCGCTCGCTCCCTCCTCGCGAGGCCTCCCCGGGGGGCTGCAGCCCGCGGCCGGGAGCGCCGGGGCG